GGTTGTACTGATACTACACTCTGCACTTCTTGTGCAGATTTCGGAGTTGGTCTCAGCAGCGTACCATAGACTTGCTCGGATTTCAGCTAATCAGAGGAGACTTGAGGTATAACTTCACGGCTTTCGCAGTTCTGAAGTCCCCGTCTACTGTACCTTAGTTGTGTATTTATTTCCAGACAGCTTTATTTTATTAAGACCTTTATTTTTATTATTCTAGAAGCTCGTGCACTTGTGACACCAATTCTGGGATGGTATTTAGACGCCGTTATTTTTATGGATTATTCACTATATTTCAGACCTTACTTCTGCATTTGTTTCTTTATTATTAATAAATTTAAAAATTATTTAAAAATGGCTAATATTATTTTAACGTTGGCTTGCCTAGCAAGTGAAATGTTAGGCGCCATCACGATCCGAAGGTGGGAATTTCGGGTCGTGACATACTCATACTACACTTCTGCACATTTTTGTGCAGAGCTAGGCATTGAAAATATCGAATTCGGGCAGAGTTAGTGTGTTGATCGCAAGGATTCAAGGTAGAGCTGCTTGGTCGTCGCAGTCCCTTGGATTCTTTCCATTTTATTGTACTGTCAACTCTTATTCGAACAATATTGTATATTCGATCTTTGAGATTCATGGCATATATTCAGTTTGAATTCGTGACTCAGTATTACCAGTCTTGAAAAGGTGTTATAATTATTTCTACTGTTGGTTTCGACACATGTATTAAATTATATGTTTTTTTTAAAAATGGCTTGAATTATAATTGTAATTGGCTTACTGCCATCACGACACCTGTGGTGGAATTTTGGGTCGTAACATATATATATATATATATATATATATATATATATAGTATCTAATACTAAAATCCAACTAGTTTTAAGATTAAGGTATAATTAATTGACAGAGTTGTTTTATATCGCCGTTGAACAACATGAGTGACTGAATTCTATAGGAGTCAAAGTACTTTGTCTATAACAAGAAAATGCAAGAGTTCAATCAAACCAACCCCAGAAACAAAAATAAAGGTCTTCACTGAAAAAAATTGACTCACACATGGAGTTTACACAAGGCCGATGAGTACATGATACGTGTCTTTCATATACACCTTTATCGCTAACCATGGTTAATTAGTACTACTATGTACTTTCGCCTCAATCTATCAATTAACCATAGCAAAAACCAATAAGATTTAGTGTAAACATCGATTATGAGTAAGTCCTTCCTTTCGCCGATCTTTCACCTCTTATATATTATCTATGCCTTATTGCCTCATGCTATGGTCTTCTTCCCAGTGCCTGACATCTTATCAATCTCTTTAAGAGCTGCCCATAATTTTGGATCTTCATAATCTTTAATAAGAAAAGTAGGATTTGCTTCCATAAGTAATTGAGGTGGATTTCGATTTGCCAAGCCAACAACAGACATTTCAGCTGCCACCCCAGCCTTTATTCCTGAGACAGAATCCTACCCATGGAACAAACATACAATAAAAGTTTCATTAGGTTAATTTCATAGACGTCCAGAAAATTTTTAATCTATTAGATCAAAGTTATAAAACTAATTTGTATAATAGGAAAAATAATTAAACTATGTTTATATAGCAGAAAAAACAAAAAGTGCCGGAATACTAAATCAAATGCCAGAGAAAACACAAGTAAATTGGCAAATGTATACAATTGTCATGTAGGTATAGTCACGTCATCAACTCACCTTACACACTATTCATGTCACCACTTAAAAGAAAAAACTCATTTTCCGACCCTAATAACGTCCGGTGTCTCTAACCATGTGCGTGATCATTAGTTTTCTGTTTAAAAAAGCTGGGTCAGAAATTGGGTGTTTTAATTTTTTTTGAGCTGCTGCATGGACAGTTGCTGAAGCGACAACCTACTTATGTTTCGGGGACAGAATATAGCATTTTTTGGCATTTTTTATTTTCCATAATATAGAGATATAATTGAGTTATTTCTACATTATATAAATTAGTTCTATGAGGTGCGACAAAGTGAAAGTTGGATGATTGTCCATGAAATTACTTTGATGAAAACTGATAAGAAAAACTGAAAGTCAAAAGAAATCATACCTCAAATACAAATGTGTGATCCTTTGATACATTCAGCACTTCAAGGGCTTTCAAATAGGGATCAGGATATGGTTTTGCATGTTTGCACTCACTTCCAAGAATCAGAGCATCAAAGAAATCAGCAAGGCCAAGTTGATTTATACACAGTTCAGCATTAGCTCTAGGTGCATTGGTAACTGCAGCTCGTTTCAAACCACGATCTTCAATCCACTTCTTCAACTTGTAGAGACCATTTAGAGGTTTCAATTGTTCTTTTGCCAATCTACAATTTCCACCCAAAATAGCTACTATAAGATTGGTGGAATGATATGGATCTATAGTTAAGTTGCATAACACTAATTGAAACGAAATTTAAGTTACATGTCACTGAAGAGCCCATCTTCTCATATATGATCAACATTTTCTGGAGCCCTTCTTGCCCGATGATATTTCTAATGAAACTTCACTAAGGATTTTCAAGTTACCCTATAGTTATTCAAGGATCCTTTCATGCACTATGCTAGTAAATTAATGTCAACTTTAGAAGGACCACTTATTTGATGAATAAACGGAAAATTCACCTAGTCAATTTTTGAGAATGTTTTTCTCTATTCTATCACATCGAAAGGATCCAATTTTTTACATGATCAATGTAATTTAATCTATTATAGCAGATAGTTACCAATTTAAGTAGGTTACCAATTAATATTTATCATACAATTTTACCTATAATTATCTTATAAGTGACTAAATTGTGTAAATATTTCTTACACTATCAGTGGATAACATTTAAACTCAATAGAAAAAACAAGGTAGGATAGAAAGTTAAAAACCTTCTAAACAAAGCTTCCTTGTCGTTCAAGAATTTTACACCCTGTTCATGATCATTAGGGTAAAAGACAGAGACAAGATCTTCATTGTGTATTCCAGAAATTGTCTTGACAAACCACTCCTCATCAACTGGCACGCCCCCATTGTAGCCTATCTGTAGAAATTAACCCACATCGCAAAGGGAAAAAAAAAATCAAGATTTGACATTTAACATTTAACATTTAACATTGACACCTGTTTTTTATTGATAACTAACATTTTCCTTTTCATCTACAGGAAATAAAATGATACATAATAGTTAGTAGTACATACCTCCAAAAGCATTTCACGGAATGCAAGATAGTGAAATGGATCAGAATCGCATAAAGTTCCATCAATGTCAAATAATACTGCTTGAAGGGGAGCAAGCCTTGCGAGAGAGGAAGAACTGCTAAGATAAAATGTAGCAGCAATTAGCTATGCTCTATGTATTGGCCCCCATCACACAAGAATTTAAAAAGGGAAAAAAAGAAGAAACGGAAATTGTTACAATATTTTGATGCAGTACAAACTTTGTCTCTCTGAGAATCTCGAAATATAACCGAATTTATACCCCGAGAAAGAAGGAGGATTTCAATACATTGATGGTGAGAGTTAGAACGAAACTCATATGACTGATGTTAACTAATTCATGATTGAAGCATATATAGTTGATTGACATTAAGATGCAGTACAATTAGTGTATCCTGAGTCTTTATGGAGATTAATCTAGTTAGTTGGGTTGTTCAATTTTGTGAGGAATGCTTATTTGGCTCTAGTTGGAGTTCTTAAGGGTGCATGGGCCTTATATAATGCAGGATGATAGGATTGAATTATGCTAATACATTTCTTAGTGATAGAATAAAATTCATATTTTTGAAAAAACCAATTTGAATATGCACCGCTGTTCTATTGTTTCATGAAACGCAACTTGCTTTTCCCTATTAATGCATTCAGAAATGAATTTCTGCATCGATTATGAATTGGAAAACAAGGACAACGACATGATCAACCATAAAATAAGCAACAAGAAGAAATATTTGGTTAAATACAAGTTGTCCCTTAAATATACGAAAAAAGATGAGGATATGGAATTTCACCTTTCCTTAGAGTTATCCCCAGCAGAAGTGGTCATCCTGTTATAATGGGTGTTACACAATTGTTAAGAGTTGTGTAACCTTAGATGAACCAACCTCTGCTTGGGAAACTGCCTCGAGGATCAGCTCAAACTTGAAACTGCCTCAGAAGCAAACAGACGAAAAATAATAGAATTCATAGAGATTACAGACTAATATGATAAACAACGAGGGGTAGAGAAGTTTCACAATGATCACAATACTCCTCTGCGAGAAAATTGCAAAAAAGAAGGGAGTTTCGTCTAATTTCTAACGAACACCTTTCACAAACTATTCCTTTAGACATTTTTTTTTCCATTCTTTTTTCTGTTTTTTTTTTAAATTTAGATCCTCGAATTGCTGGTTAATCTGAATCGCACAGTAATTTAAACCAAATGAAGCATTTTTCGCTCTATTTTTTAAAACAGAATTAAGAGTGGAATTTAAAATATCTCACTAAGCAACAACTGTTTGAGGAGCATAACATTTTTCTTTTCTTTTTTCAGTTTTTTTTAAAAACTTGAAACGCCATAACACAAAGCAAACTACACAAATTAATAGAAAAGATTAACTTTTAAAATTTATGATCTAAAATAAACCACAAACATTTTTCTGACTATAAATTGTCTCATTAATATAAACTAGAAAGTTTAATATTAAATTATTTCTAATAAATATGACACATGAAATGGTACAAATGAAATGCTACTTTATTCATTTTTTTTAACAGAATTCAAAGGAGAACAAAAGGATACCCAAAAATTGACTAGAAACCCAATTTGTCAGCTCCAATCACAGCAATACCCTTGCCCTTAACGGACTCAAAAAGCGGCGCCACCATTTTCCTATAATGAACTGGCCGATTAATCTCCTCTTCAACGTCAATTTCCACGTTATAGAGTTTAACTTCCTTAAGTCGATCCCCAAGCTTCTCTCCGACTCTAGAAGCTATTTTCGCGTCCCACAAATTGCGACACCTCGGCACTCGGTTGAGCTTGGCTTTACACTGCGCCGCGAACTCTTGCTCGGATGATGAAGACATTGCTATGATGGTGTCGGTGCTGGTGGTTGTCACTTGTGCCGTGATTTTCCGGCAGGAGAGGAGTAAGCGGAGGAGGTGGCGGCTTCCGGCGGTGGCCATTTTACGGTGTCGTATGGGTTTTTATATGGGGTCGGGTTGAGTCCTAAGAAAAAGTGGGGGCTTTGGTGTTCCCTAGCGTGCACAATTTATTTGAGCGAAATGTATAAATATATTTAAAATATAGTCGAAATTTGTAATATTTAATATTTAACCATCTCGAAATCAGAACTCCAAATCTCAGAAATTTTAGATCAAACTTTCAAACTTGAGATCTTCGGGAGTCTGAACTACCAAAATAAAACTTCAGCCCGAAATTTGGGACCCGTTTGGCCATAGATTTTGCCAAAATAAATTTGGATTTTATTTGACAAACATATATTTGGCCATAGATTTTGCCTATATTTTGACAAAATCCTAAATCCCAAAACCAGCTCAATTGCTGGTTTTGGGCCAAAATATCACTATTACATTTTTTAAAAATTGCCCCATACTTTTGTATTTTATAAAAGAACCTACTATTTATTATTTTGTAACAATGTTACTTCGTCTTCTCGGTCACCTGATAGTATATCATGTAGTTCATTATAAAAATGATAATTTTGTATCAAATTTATTTATGTTCAGGATTATGGTTTGTGATAATATAATAAATGTTATTATAATGGTATTGTTGGGTATTTGTGATAGTTTTTTAGAATTTGTGGGTATAAGTCATATTTCATATTTTTTCAAAATAAATTTTGGAAATATGTTTTGAAAACTAATGTCCAAACACATTTTCATCTTCAAACCAAACTTCACCCAAATCAGATTTTTCAGAACAAATTTGAGAATCTATGGCCAAACGCTAGCTTGAAGTTAGGTTTTGACAGTTCAAAACTTCAGACTCGTAATTTTGAAATTTAATTTTGGCCGTTCAAATTTTAGACTTTCAAAATTAATCAGTGACTATAGTTCAAACTTCGGATTCGAAGGTCTGAAGTTTGATTTTGGGCGTTCAAACTTCAGATCATCAAAATTAGTCTCTCACAGTTCAAATTTTCATACCGTAAAACTTGAATGAAAAAAGGGGAAGGAGGAGGAGGACGAAAATGAGCATTCTGAAGCTTGTCTAATCTGGTCAAACTATAAATAGTGTACTTAAAATCGGCTACCTAATGCCATTTCTACAATTTATTTGTGATTGCTTGGTAGAAAATCAAAATACAGGTTATCAGTATATGAAAAAGGAAAAAGGTCTAAAATTCTCCTTATATTATTTGAAATTGCTCAATTTTGACATATGTTATATTTTTGGTATATTCACACCTTTGATGCTAGTAAATTATTTCATATTTTTCCTTATCATTAACAAAGCTCCAAGGTGAAATAAGTGGATTTCAGGTGACCAAACTTTTCGCTAAGGCCAACTTTCGTCCATGCTCAACCGATGGATTTTTTAGTCAACCCATCTTCTGCCAAAAAAGTTTAATTTTACTCATCAACTTTTTGATTGTAGTCTAAATTTATCTTCAGGTAGGAGTTTGTCAAAATCAAGAGCAAAAATAAGAATTTTTTCACGGCTAGTAATATTGGACCAAAAGTCCTTTTTTTTGTTTGAAACTAGAATACTAATACTAGTACTACGCTAAGAACCAATCATATTACATGTCATAGAGATGTCACTTAGGACATTTTGGTTACCAAATTCAGCCAACTTAGTGCATATATTATCCGAAATAAACATAACAAAATGTGTTCCGCCTTTGTCTACTAGGAACTGATTTTCAACAAAATATGGTGGAACTGCAAAATTTCTCACTTGATTTAGTGTGGATTGCTTGGAAGCTTCTTTTGCATACTTGATTTGCTTGCCTCGAGATATGTTTGTCCACCACATGCTCCATTTAGTGGATTAACCCCCTGCATTCACAAATAATGGGATTGTATGTAGGATATCCATGTTCAAGGTGAACCGCGCTCAAACCTCAAAGCAAGGTATGAAACGATCGATTGCAATTATAGTAACCCAACGAAGAGTCGGGATGAATTCACATGGAGCTAGATGGAAGTTAGGAGTATATATTATAATGCATAAAATTGAATTATCTTAATTTGCGCTTCCACAAGAAAGGGTTTTGTTTCTATTTCTATTTTAAAACTAAAGATTGCAAAATAGAGAAATAAGACTAATATAATTATTTTTGATGTTTTTCAAATAGGTAAAGGCCTAGGGATGTAACCATTACCTAGGTGTTTGTCTGATGGGATAAAAACTTTAATGTTTGTTTTGTTGATCGGGGTGTATTATAGCTATCAACTCTCAATTTTTCACGCAATACCTCTCAGTCAGAGAATGATTTTGCCCAATTTAGCTTTCTCAAGACCAAATGGGTATCACACAATACAATTGATAAAAGCTCAAGTTGGGTTATTATTATCTCTAGGCTGAACCCTTTAACTAGGTTAATCAATATATCAATTAACCCAATTCCTTGTTAGCCAAGTTTTCCTAGACTAAGTCTCTATTTCTCAAGTAGAAACTAAGTCAAATAAGCATGAACTAATGTTTGCAACCATTAATTTCACAAATTAAAGCATGAGCTAGGCTAAATAATAACTACCCAATCATAAACAAGCACTAATTTAATTACCCATAAGGTGAACACATTAGGGTTGGGTCACAACCCTAGTAAAAATCTAGCTACTCATACTTAAAATTAAAGAAAGAGAAGAAAAAATACTAATTAAACTCATAATGTAAAGTTAAAATGATAAAATCTATAGTAAAATATACCAAAATATAAAAAACTTCTAAAAGAGGCAAAGAAAAATGGCTACAGGATTCGCTGATGTCAAAACTTGACCTAATTTTGTGAAACTCGTCTATTTATATAAAGCTGGAAATTTCGGACAAAAATACCCCTCGGGAGGTTCTGCGGCCGCACAATTCCATTTGCGGTTCGTAGAATTCTTCATCTTGCAGGAGATGAGTTTATGCGGCCGCACAATTCTGAACTGCGGCTGCGAGACAACATTTATGCAGTCTGCAGATTTAGCATTGCGGCCGCAACCTAGTCTTCTGCGGTCTACACTTTTATGTCTGCGGCCGCAAGACACTTCTTTTGCGGCCGCACAATTCTTGTGCGGTCTGCAATTCTAAGGGACTCGGAACTTGAAAATTTTGTACACCCTCTGAAGTTGGTCTCAAGCTCTTCTTTTACGGCTGCATAATTCATGTGTGGTCCGCAATTTGCTAGAAAGTCTGATGAGTTTTCCTTCGTTGTTTGTGGCCGCAGATGGAATTCCACGGGCCGCAATTTCTTTTGCGGCCGCAGAATTCCTTCTGCGAACCGCACTTTGTATGCTTTTCTACCCTTTTGTTGCATTAAGCTCAGACTACTCCTTTTTGAGTCGAATTTCATCTCGGTAGTTCAACTTCCAATATTTCTATAATTTTGCACATTTCATTAGTTTCGGAAACACAATTCAATGCTTTTAGACTAAAACAAAAGCAAAAATGCGCTAATAAGTAGTCAAAATCTCCACTTATCAACTCCCCAAACTTATTTGCTTGTCCTCAAGCAAACAAAATAGTTCCTTCCTCCACAAGTTAAGGTGGTCATTTCAGCCAGTCAAAGGTAAGCCATTCACACATCAGTTGGGACTAACAATTATCCATACTACTTATGTATTATCAACAAGGCAACATGTTAAACATTTATGTACATATAGTTCTAGTATGACACTTGAGCATCAAGAATTGACTTTACACATCAAGAAAGCTTGCTCTCTCATGTAGATCGTTGTGGATCCCAAACTCTCCCTCATCAACTCTTCGTATGCCTAGCTCACTTAATTTTAACACTCAGTCTAAAGGTTTATGAAAGATTCACTTATCTCTCTCAAGAGAATGTCACAAGTACGGCTTCAAGTACCATAGGCTTTCCCCTTATGTCGATCGCCACTAATGTAAGCTTACTCGGCTTGAAATCAGGTAGGATTTCTTTTGGGATGTAATGAAGGCTTCTGGGTTAGGGTTGGATACAATATGGTTGAATGGTTATACCTTTCCTTAAGCACTCCATATTTTTATTCTCGGCTCACACCTTGCTAGTTCTTTTAGGCATTTTCTTTTCCTTGGGGGACTACAGAGACTTAACATCACTCTTTTTTTTTTTTATCATTACACTCATATTTCTCCATGTTTGGGCTCATTGACTTTCTTTTATCCCTTCAACTCTACTACTTATTCATTTTTTATGCAATTTTCTTTTTAGTTTTTTTTCTTTGCCTTTTCTTCTCATCACTTCTTTTTCTCTTTTTGCGCCTTGATATCTTTTTTCAATTTCCTCGTCTCTTCCCCAAACTTACATTTTTAGCCATTTGTTCCATATGAGTGCTAAGGAAAGCTCGGGTGCCAAGAGATGCTCATAATAGAATGGGTAAAGACTTGTAACATGATTTTTAAATGAGAAAGGCTAAAGGCTCGAAGAGGTTGACTAAGGATTACATCATTGGTAGGCAATAGAGAACTCAAACGGGCCAAGGAAAGCCTACAATCACTTCTCAAGCCAAGCAAAACTTAGAATTTCACCTTGAAACACATTCGGGGCAAGTTCTAGACCTTTCACATGTGTACTTGGACTAACAACAAAACATCTCACCCCTCACGCAACTGGATTGTTAAAGAGGAAAGAGTCGAGGGCCCACAACGACCACATTCAAGATTGAAAATCACTATAGTTCGATTAAACCACTTGATGGTTGCCTAAGTCAACACAAGAGTCACAAAGTCACTAACTAGAGTTATTTCTTTTGAAAACCTTATTTCTAACCATAAGCACGTAGTTAAGTGTGTTGGTACCAAGTGAATCATGTTTGAGTCTTCGACCATGATTTAATTAGGTTTTTTTTAATTTTTTTTAATTCATTACTACTGCTATCATTACCTAAACACTAAAAACTGACTCAGTCCCTTAAGAAGGTTATCACGCCATCCATCTTTGGGAAGAGTCACCCGGTTCACATGAAAACTACCTTTGGAAAGAACCGTGACATTAAGAAAATTAAAGGCTTATTGTCTACAAAAACATTTCAAAAAACTACTAAATCAAGAAGGAGCTACTAATTCAAAAAGAAGCTACTAATTCAAAAAGAAGCTAAAAACTAC